CTATATCCTCAGTGTCTCAAACAAGCTGGAACATTGTAGGTACTCAGTAAATATATCCTGAATTAGTAAATAGAGAGTCTGCTTTAGGGGGGTCTGGAGACCTGGGAGTAGGCTGGTCTCAGCCGTCCAGGTGGAAGATAACAAGACACTGGACTAGAGAAGGAATGGAGAGAAAGGGGTAGCTGTTGACAGGGTCACCTGTCCATTGGCAAGTTTCCTGTCTCTCCCTGCTGCAACCCGCCCTCCACAGGGAGGCAGACTGATCTGAACAGATAAGTTGAACATTGCCTGCCTCCTGCATAAATCTTTCATGACTCCCTACTGCACAGGATCAGGAGTTAAAAGTGACTCAGGAAGGAAATGGAGTGACCCTGGAGTGTCAAGGGCATGACGCCTCACTCTGGTTGAGGTTACGGTGGGCAGAGAGCTCCCGTTCCAGATTCAAAAGATCTCTATACCCTAGGGCTTCTCAGAAAATATAATTGCTACGCCTGCCCGTGGGTCAGGAGGGAAACCATATGCTGTTGGCATACAATCGAAGGTTATTTTATTATTTATGTTCAGTCTCCTACACTCACTGTAAGCTTTCTTGGGCCCAGATTTTTTTCCCACAGGGCTCTGAACACTACCTGGTCATAGTTTAGGTTTCAACTCAGACACCCCCTTGCTGACCCCACATCCTGGCTGGCTTAGGTACCCTCTCTGGCTCCTCTAGTCTACTAATTCTCTAGAATTACTTATTTAGCATGTTTATTGCTTATTTTCTGCCTATCCATATAGGGTGTAAGTTCCATGGGAGCAATGTGTTTTCTAATCCATGAACATGGTATATATCTCCATTTATTTAGATCTTTATCTCAGCAGTATTTTGCAGTTTTCCATGTAGAAATCTTGCATGTCTTTTGTTAATTTAGTCCTTAAGTATTTTGGGGTTTGATGCTATTTTAAAGGGGACTATTTTCAATCTCATTTAACAGTTGCTTCTACCTAGGATATAAACAAAATTGATTTTTGCATATTGATCTCATATCCTTTAGCAACCTTGATAAATTCACTTAAGTGTCAGTAGTTATTTTTACCCCTTAGAGTTTAGTACATAAACAATCACATCACATGATTTTACTTCTGTCTGATCTACATGCTTTTTCTTTCTTTTTCTTGCCTTATTGCACTAGCTAAGACTTCTGATACAAGGTTGATTAGAGGTGATGAGAGTGAAAATCCTTGTTTACAATCTTAGGGGGACGTCAGTCAATATTTTACCACTAAGAATGATACTAGTTGTAAGTTTTTTGTAGGTTCCCTTTTTCACATTGAGGAAGTTTAGGGCAGAGAATTTTGTCTGCTTTGTTTACTGATTTATACCAAACGTGTAGCATAATGCTGTTGGAGAGCAAGTGCTCAGTAAATACTTGTTGAATGAATGAATGAATGAATGACTATAAGCTGCATGGCACAGTGGCTAGTAATTTGACATTGGACTTACTTAACCAGTAGCGTGATTGAAGGCAACTAATTTAACCTTTCTCTTCCTCATCTGTAAAATGCAATAATAAGGTATCACTCAGTGTTATTTTGAAGATTTAATGAGAGTATCCATGTAAAGTAAGAGCACAGTCTAACACATGGTTAGTGCTCAATAAACACTAACTTTTACTACCTCACTTTTCTGAGCCTTGTATTCTCCTCTATAAAAGAGAGAATATTCTAATCCTTAACTTTTGGGGTTACAATGAGGATTAAATGACATTATGCATATTATGTGCCTAGCACACAATTCCTGGCACAGAGAAAGCGATTGGTAAATGTTTGCCATTATTATTTACCAAGTCCCCTACCTATATTGGTTAGGGGGACAAAGGATGCTGTTCATTGGAAGCTGACAGACTGATGGCAGAGTCAGATAAGTATAGAGATTATGACAGTGCAGTAAGGAGTGTGAAAATTAACGAAGAGAAACCTAACTAAAATAAAGTCCTGAGGCCAGAAGGGGGAGCTCTCACACAGTACCACTCCATGTCAAATACAGGAAGAGTTGTCAATTACGGACAGAACCCAAGAGGAGAAAAGTCAACGAGAAAGAATCATCAGTTATAGGTCCTAACAGCAAAAGAGATACGTTACATCTCCTACATATATATTTACGCTGTGGAAAAAATAACATCACCGGTCAATTTTCATGATTTATTTTACGTGAAAAAAAATAATTTGTCAAATGGCATCTCATTTTTCACTGCATAGAAAATAGGACAGGTCTATAACAAAATATTAGCAGTAACCACCAATTGCTGAGATTGATGGTAAGATTCACTTTCTCTTCTGGGCTCTTTGAGATTTTGCAAAAGTTCTATATTAAGAGTTTTGTTTTGTTTTTGTTTTTTGGTTACTGGAATTAAAGTTATTAACAAAAACTACAACTCCCGGCAGACATCGCGCCTGCGGCTTCGAGAGATCGACCTTTCCCTGGCGCAGTAATCTCTGGGATTCGTAGTCCATTGGCAGAAGCAAGGTGGGACGCGTAGTACCGGCACAGATGACAGAGGAGGGACTCGCTGACATTCTGACCAATGGACCGTGCGCCCTGGGCCTGAGTGGCGCGCACAAAGCCAATGTGTGAGCCGCTAAGCATGATTGACGTGCGCTTCAGCCTACGGGTGGCCCGTGGGGCGGTGCGGTGAGAAGCGTCCGTAGTGCGAACCATGGGAGGCGGCTGGTGGTGGGCTCGGGCCGCCCGCCTGGCCCGACTCCGTTTCCGGGGGGCCCTGCTGCCGCCTCCACGGCCCCGGAGCGGGGGCGCCCGGGGGTCCTTCGCCCCCGGCCACGGACCCCGCGCCGGGGCTTCGCCGCCCCCGGTGTCCGAGCTGGACCGAGCGGACGCCTGGCTCCTCCGGAAGGCGCATGAGACAGGTCTGAGGCTGGGGCGGGGGTCGGCCCGGGTGGAAAATGGGGTTCGGGTGAGCCGAGCTGTTCGCGCGCGCGAGTAGGAGATGGAGGTGGAGCTTCTGCTGGAAGCAGGGCCCGGGCTCAGGAGGGAGAAGGGCTTCCGTATACGCGCAGGGAAGCGCTGGCTGCAGAGCGCAGTGTGTCCGCATAGGAGAAGGGCTTGCGGATGGGAAGGAGGGTCCGGGCGAGTGGGGCGCAGTAGGTATTGAAGAGGCTGGTCGGGTTAGGCCAAGCACCCCGATAGAATTGCACTGTTCAGACGAGAGCGGCTTCCAAAGAGGGCTTAGGGCGGGAGAGTTGTCTACAAGAGGGGTCCGCGTTGGAGGGGACAGTTGTATTAAAGAAACGACCACTCCGCATAAGGTGGGAGTGTGGATCGCCACAGAAGAGGGGGAAGTTCTGGATTGGAGGAGGGAACAACCAATAGAAGAAAAGCTCTGAGCTGATTGGAGGGCGAGGTGATCGAGGCTGCCGGGGGCGGGGCCTCACGTCAGACTTGGAGAAGACGAGGCATCTAGATATAGGACGGGGTAGGAGTGGGAGGTTTGTAGCCCAGCTAGCCCGTTAGCGCCACACTAGGGACTTGAATGGATGTGAATAACGTCAGGCCTGGGGCGGGGGAACACTTTGTGCCCGAGGTCTCAAAAACAAGTGAGAGGGCATCCCGTGGGGATGCACGTGTGGGAAGAGGGTTGACCAAGATGACCAAGATGAGGGGTCTTCCTGTCCTTAGATTTAGATTCTGCAGTTTTGGTCCTAGATCCCCCTCCAAATTCTAAGGACTGTCTTGAATCTTAGGTGTTGCAAATTTGGAGGGAGAGAGTTTTGGAGGTGGGGTCGGGGAGGGCCTCCAGGACGTGGGAATTTGGAGCAGGATGGGGTGGTGGGGTGATTGGAACCCCCTCGGTTTGTCTGGGCTTCGGGGCTTCGCGGTAGCGTTTGAACTGATGCTGAGTCTCCTCCCATTTCCCCCTCCCTCCAAGCCTTCCTTTCCTGGTTCCGAAATGGCCTCCTGGCGTCAGGCATTGGGGTCATCTCCTTCATGCAGAGTGACATGGGTCGGGAAGCTGCCTATGGTGAGTGCAGATCCCCCAGGCTTGTTCCCCACGGGGGAGTGTGGCCTCACCCTCACTGGGGGATGTAGAGCCCCCCACCCCCGGTGAATTCCCTCCTGCCCCACACCCCAACAGTAAGTGTAGAAGCCCTCATCCCTTCCCCGCCGGAAGCTGTCTTTCCTTCACTCGTGTTGACCTGTCACCCACCCCACCCCACCCCTATCGAATGGGTGGCCCAGGGCATGGCTGTGGGTCCTTCCCCCAGTCTGCCTTCTCAACAAGGATGAGGATTCTGGTCCCAGCTGCTGACTCGCTGATGAGCCCCCCCACCCCTCCTCTGATCCTGGACCCCACCTGTGACACCTTCTCATGCCAGCTGACCTTGGCCCTGTACTACCCCTGCCCTGCCCTGCGTTTGCCCCATCCCGCTTCTAAGTCTGCCTCAGCCCCCTGACCCCCTCCTGTCTCTTGCATCTGCCTCCCTGACCCTGGCCTTCTGCCCCCAGCCCCACCCCCAGCCCGGGACCCCAAGTCCTCCTTCCATTGACTGGCCTCCGCCCTCTCCCACAGGCTTCTTCCTGCTGGGCGGCCTGTGCGTGGTGTGGGGCGGAGCCTCCTACGTGGTGGGCCTGGCGGCGCTGCGGGGACCCATGCAGCTTTCACTGGGGGGCGCGGCCGCGGGCATGGGCGCCGTGCTGGCCGCTGGCCTACTCTGGGCGTGTGCCGTCGGCCTCTACATGGGCCAGCTGGAGCTGGATGTGGAACTGGTACCTGAGGACGACGGGTCGGCCACTGCGGAGGGCCCGGACGAAGCGGGCAGGCCACCGCCAGAGTGAGCAGTGGCGCCGTGGGGAATGGCCCGGCGCTGGGCGGCCAGGGCCTGAGGACTGGGACATTAAAACCTGACCCTTCCCTTGCTCCATCTGCTGAGTGGTCGTTCCTGTGATAGGGGAAGGCTGAGCCTGAGGGGGAGGAGTGAAGGAGGCGAGAAGGGGACGGAGACAGGTGGTGAGAGCCGCTCCACAGCCCGAGACAGAGCCACAGACTGGGAGCAGGCCTTTAATTCTCAGAGAGCGCCGGCGGGGCCAAGAGCCCTGTCCCCTGCCCCGTTGGGGACCTGCAACCAACCACCAGGGTCCAGCTCCGCAGGCAGTCCTCCCTGGCCTCAGTCCCCCTTCCGCTGCACCCTGGCACCCGTGGGCCCCGGGTAGGGCAGGCCCAGGGTGGGGTAGAAGGCCTCGGGGAGGGCGGGGCCGGGGCCCAGCCTCTGCAGGTGCGGGTACATGAGGCCCAGCTCCGTGGGGCCGTAGCGGATGGTGCCAGGCGTGCACAGGCCTCGCATGACAGGGGGCAGGAAGCCGGCGTGGAGCAGGGCTGGCGGGCGGTCCCCGGCAGGCACCAGGCCCCACGGCCGCACGAGGTCCTGCTTCAGGGCTCCCGCTCGAATGACGGACGTGAACTCGGGCCGTGGCGGGGCTGGGCGGCCAGCCAGCTCCTCGTCCCCACTGTCCTCCAGGTCCTTGGTCTCACCCGGGCCAGGCTCCACTTTGATGAGTTTTCCGTGGCTCTGGGGGGCCTCGTCCTTCTCCAGGGGAGCAGCCTGCTTTCCTTCCACTGCAGGCGCTAGCTCTGGAGGATTTGGAAGGGCACCGTGTGGGCGTCCCCTGCCCCCAGTAACCCCCCCCACCGTGGAATGAAGCTGGGGTGTTTTTGTCCCCCAGGGGACATTTGGCGCTGTCTAGAGACATTTTTGGTTGTCACGACTGGGGAGGAGGTTGCTCCTGGCATCTAGTGAGTAGAGGTCGGGGATGCTGCGAAGTACCCTACAAGGCACAGGACAACCCTCAAATGCAGAAATACCTGGTCCCAAGTGGCAGTGGGCGGAGACTGGCCACCCTGGTCTAGACCGGGGCTGACAGAACCTTCCTCGGTGGCGGAAATGTGCCACATCTGTGCCGTGCACTGGCCACGCACGGCTGCTGAGCCCTTGAGATGGGGTCGCCCAGGGGTCGAGGTGGGAGGCGGGGCTCACCTGCGGGCTCCGGCTCTGGGCTGGACACGTCCTCACAGGCCGCTCTGGCTGGAAGCTGGAAGGCATCCAGGGGCGTCTGGCTGCCCTCAGCTTGACTGGGACAAGACAAGTGGGCTTGGGAGCCAGAGGTCCTGGGTGAGGGCAGCCTCCATCCTGCCCCCAGACGCCTCCCCTCTGACTACAGCACCCCCACATCGAGGCACTTAGGCCTCATGACGACCCCCAAACTCCAAGTTGGCTCCTGGCCCAGCTCGGCCCTGTGTCTCGACCTGTGGCCCCTGGATGTCACCACTGAGGTCTCCCCGGTCACTGCGTGCTCATCTGACCTCAGTGTCTTCCTTCTGAACTGCTGGTCCCCTCAGGGGCCCAGCGAAGCAGAGACCTGGGCAATGGCAGATGGCCACCTCCCTCCACCTGCACTGCCCAGCCCGCTCCCTGGTCTCCTGGCCCTGTCAGACCCCCATCTTCACCGCGGCCAGAGGGGTCTTTCCAGAAAGCAGATCTGTGACCCTTCCAGCTTTAAGCCCTGCCGGGACCCCCAGAGCCCCCAAGACCAGGTCCACAGCCTCGGCCTTGGCCTTGGCCTGAGGCCGCTCCAGACCTGCCTCCTAGAAGACACCAGCACCCCTCCCCCTCTCCTCTGCCTCCTGCAGCAAGGGCTTTACCTCCAGGCCTTTGCCTCGGCCCCCCTTTCTCCTCTTCAACCCCCTCCTCACCCTGAGCTGCGGAGACACAGTGGAAGCTTCAGAGGGGCTTTCGGAGGGCAGCTCTCACCTGAGCACGTAGCTGACCCAGAGCACGTGGCGCTCCCCAGGGCTCTTCCCGCTCACGGCCACGGTGGCCACGGACTGCAGCCACACGAAGCCCCCAGCACGCTGCAGCCAGCGGTAGTACCCAGTCACCACCTGGCCCTTGTCCAGCACTGGGCCCAGCCCAGGG